TTTTCTTTGCATAAAACTCTCTCTTATACGTGAGTTGCTGTGGATTTGTTTCTCCAAAGTACCTAGACTAATACAGTTGGGGATGACAAGTTCAGCTCCTGGCCTGAGGGTAACTAAGAGCACCTGCCTTGGGGCCGCTGGGTAAGTGTTTCTCCTTAGTCTCCTCCCACTCTGTCCAGGACTTTCCGAGGGAACCCTCTCGATGTCGGGCACCATGGAGTCCCGCTGGTCTCAGGAGGCTGGTGGAGGACTGTGTCTTCCCAGCAGGATGTGACCCCACACTCCCACCTACCAGGTGATGGTTCCTGCCCGCCACTGAACTTAAGTGACCAACATGCACGCTACCACTGCTCTACCTGGCCAGGTCGGGAATAGGGGTCCCTGCTAACACCCGTGCTCCAGAAGCCCTGGAGCTGGGGGACAGGGCTCCTGGGGAATGGACGCTGTCCAGGCCTCCTGTTGTGCACCAGCCACCCACTCACCGTCTCCCCTCGCCTGCCTCTGGAGAAGACCCCACCTTTTCAGAATGCCCCTTTTTCACTGCAGTGTGCTAGACCACGTGGGGTGGAACTAGGAGGCAGTGGGGGCAGGGAGCAGCAGTTTGCTCAACATCCCCTGGTAGCTGGGGGTGGGCAGGCATGCCCACGGTGGATAAAAGCGGAGCCGTGGGCACCAAGAGGAGCCGTTTCGTGTAGCGGTCACGGTTGAGCTGAGACCGCATGGTGGGCAGTTGGGAACCAGCAGCAGTTCCTGCCGCAGAAAGACTGGCTTTCTAAGCCTGTGAACAGTTGCAGTCTGGGAAACCCACAGAGGGGCGCTGAGTCAGCATTAACCTGATAGTGGTGATTTTGAGGGGCGCCCCGTGAGGTGGAGTGGGGGGACCGACACATGCAGACAAGCGGCCCTGGCACACTGAAGGCAGGCAGACTGCCAGCCTGGACACTGAAGGCCAGCCCCGTGTGAGGGGCGGACAAGGCTGTTTGGGCCCACTGTGCCCTCCTCTCCACACCACAGCCAGGCAGGCACTGCCAGCTCCGGCAGTGGGTGGTGTTGAAAGGCAAGGTGGTGGGGACCGGAGGGCCTGTTGTAGCCTCTGGTGAAGGAAGGCGCAGGAGCTGGCCCTACCTGCCCCTGGCACCGGGCGGAACCTGGCCAGGGCTCATCCAGAAGGAGGCTGGGGGCCAGTCCCCACCCTGCTATCCCAGCTCCACAGGGCCCCCAGCTGTCTTTGTGGCTGGTCCCCCTGAAACCACACCTTCCTGGGGGTGCACCTTCACCCCGAAGCAGTGTGTGTGTGTTGGGGGAAGCCAGAGAGGGTGGGATGTTCACCATGGCTTGGGACCAGGTGGCAGGCCTACCCGCCCACCCTCTGAAAGCAGCAGCAAAGGGTCTTCTGCCTGCCACAGACAGGGCTGGAGGGGTGCACAGAAAAGAGCCTGAGTCGCGGCCCCTAGTGCACCTTCACAAACAGGTTTATTCGAGGCCTCCTGGCGCCACAAGGTGGGCACCATCCCCCAAAGCACCGCAGTCCCGCCACGGTCCACGAGGCCAGCCGCACCTCGCTACAGGAGGTTTACCTGGGCCACCACCGGTTTGCAGCCGGTGACGGCGTACTCGCGGCCAGACACGCGGTAATAGCTGAGCTGTGCAGCCAGGCGCTCCGCCTGCGCCTGCTCTGGGAAAAAGCCCTCTCCGGCCATCTCTTCCCGGAAACAGCTGACCACGTCCCACTTTTCCAGCAGCAGGAAGGGGACGATGGCTGCGACTCTCCACAGCGGGTGCTCACGCACCAGGAACGCCTGCAGGCTGGCGCGCAGCTCCTCCTCCGCCCAGGCACCCCCACCCTCGCCCCCAGGCCCCCGCGGCAGCACACGGGAGGCGTTCTGCAACACAAAGCGCGTGACCTCGCCGCCACCTGCGCGGCTGAGCAGCACGTAGATGGCACTGTGGAACTGGTGGGAGCGCTGAGGCTGCAGGAGGCTGTGCACCTCGTCCAGCAGCGCGGGCGGCATGGTCTCCACGTCGTCCAGCACCAGGAGCGGCGTCTTCTCCTCGGCCTCGGCCCGCGCCACCACATCGGCCACCAGCCATGCGAGCTCCTCCCGGCAGGCCTGCGCAGCTCGCGGCTCGGGGCAGTGGTGGCGCGCGTGGTACTGCAGGACCAGCGCGCCATCCTCGAGCACTGCGCGGAAGTGGCGTGCCAGCAGGCGGCCCACGTGGCTCTTGCCCACACCGCTGGGCCCATGTAGTGCTAGCAGCAGTGGACGACTGTGCACGTGCGTGGCCAGGTAGTCCCGCAGCAGGGCCACGATGCGCCCCACGGCGGCCGGCTGCCCAAACACGGCGCGCTGCAACGCCTTCTCCAGCCCGTCAAGGTCATAACGCAGTGCGTTGTCATCCAGGTTTTCAATGGCGTTCAGCACCTGGAAGCCCACGATGGCGACGAGCAGCAGCAGACAGTGCTGCGCGCGACTGCGGCGCTCGGGGCGGGGCAGGTACTTGCGCGAGCTCTCCGGGTACAGCACGATGCGGCTGCGTCGGCGCCTCTTGCGCGGTGCCCGGGAGGCCAGCTGTGTGGTGCCGTCGAAGGTGAAGATGCGCGGCTGGTCCTTTCCCGCCAGCGGTGTCCGGGGCCCCGTGTCGGCCGCAGCCGTCGAGCCCACGCCAGGCAGCAGCAGGCGGCGCTTGCGCAGGAGGCAGACGCGGCGGCGCAGGCGGAGCACCGCGCGCACTGGCGCGATCACGCAGGCGCAGGGGTCACGGGGCGCTGCGGGACTGGGGCTGGGTTGGCCATGGTCCATGGCTGGGTTGCAGTGCACGCAGGTCGCCGCCCCTGCAAGGACACCCGAGGAGTTCTGACCTCTGGCCTCGGGGTCCAGAACCCACTGGAACCTGTCCCCCCAACTCCCAGGGTGGTCTGCTTCCCCAGCGGAGGGAGACCGCAGGTTAGAGGGTCAGGGCCTGGCTAGGGCCTGGCTGCACGGAGGCTGGCCTGCTGACCAGGAAGCGGCTCCCCCGCAGAGCCGCATGCAAATCGCTGGGGCCTCCGGTAAACAGCGGTGACCAGCGGCCAGGAGGAAGTAGCTGGAGGGGGTGGGGGACTGCCCCGGCTTATCTACTGCCTTCCCGGCTTCCCGGAGGAGGCATCAGCTCCAACCTGGCACCAATTGAGGTGGCAAAAGGTCATGTCTGAACTCGCCCCTCTCAAATCACACCCCCACCCCCACGAGTACAGAAAGGAACCTTCACATTGAGAAAGTTTTGGGGGTCTAGCCGCAACTTTTGCTTTTGAGACCACACCCCAGGCCTGCCCAGGCTCAGCCTCTTCTCAGGTCCCCACCCCCAAAGTAGGACCTCCCACTGTGGATGCCCCTGGACCGGGCTGCGGCAGTGAGGCAGGGCGTACCTGGCAGACCCTAGAAGGTAGGAAGGCATCTACAGCTGTGTGGCTGCCGGCAGCCTGGACCAAAGGGCTGCTGGAGGCCCGGGAAGGATGCACGAGCTGCCGGAGGCGCCAGGGAGAGGGCGAAGGCAGGCAGGCCTGAATGGGGACTCCCCTAAACCCCTGTACCTGCAGCTGTGTCCAGCTCCGGACCCCCTGCCGCCCTGCCTGCTGTTGCTCGGGATGCCCACCTTGAACTCCGCCAGCTGAGTGGGGCTTGGGAGACTGGACCCGGCAAGGCGGGGCCTGAAGGGCAGTGACACCTGCGGGTTCCGCGGGTCCCGGGAGCGTCTGGCCTCCGGGAGGCCGCTGGAAAGTTTCCGCTTCTATCGCAAAGGAAGTGAGTCAGGGTGGGCGGGCGGAGCTTACGCAGGACAAGACGCAGAGGGGAGGCTGGCTGGCCTCTGTTCTGGGGTCATCTCGCTCACTGCCTCCATGGCAGGTCAAGGAGGGGGCACTGCCTGTGCCCCTCTGAGCCCTCCCCCACCCACCACACCTCCCCTGCTGTGCCTGTAAACAGGGAGGGGCCAAGCCCTTCAGCTCCATCTGCCCCAGGCTTCTGCCTGGCAGACTCCGACCAAGATCAGCACTGGCGAGGAATGCCACACTGCAATTGGGGTCCCCACTGCTGTGCAAATTAAAGAACTTGGGGGGTCCCAGGGGAGGTCCCCTGCTTACTACCTCTCAGCTCCTTGTTTGGGCCCAGAGACTGATCCTCCCAGCCCCCACCCACTAGTGCAATCTTCACAGGCCACCTGGGCTGGGCTGGTTGCCCACCCATGCCATCGGTGCCCCAGCACCTCTTGGCCAGCATGCCCTGCTCCCCCTGCCACTGGTACGGTGGACCACGGCTCAGACCAGCTACAACCAGGGTGTCAGCCTCTGAAGCTGGTGGGGGCCGGGCCTCCTGCCCCTCCCCTCCGATGCCTGTACCTCCTGCAGGGAAGGGGACTGGCACCCTCCTTACTTTCTGCCTCCACCCCCCTGCGGATCCGCCTTTCCTGGTCTCCCATCTGAAAGGCCCTACCCCAGCACTCAGCGCACACCTTATGGCTCAGCTCCCGGATCTTGTTTCCAGGACTCCCCACCAGCCTCAGGGAAAATGGGTGCAGGTAGTAGCAAAGCTTCCCTGATATGAGTGGGGTAGCAGGTGCAGGCTAGGAGGCAGCACACCTTGGCCTGGTGCCCCTACAAGTGACCACTGACCCCAGGGAAACCAGAGCTGTGGGCACTGCTCCCCAGGAAGTGGAAGGGGCTAGGCTCCCTCACCAGATGGGCCACCCTGTGTGTGCCCTAAGCCTCGGTCCCCAGGCTGTGCGAGGCTCCTGGGGCTGGTCCCTGGAGGGCCAGGGGCACTGAGGGCCACAAGCCCACTGCACTCACTCAATCACTTTCCTCTCGGACTTTACAAAATGCTTTTTATTTACAGTCTCCTCTCACCCACGGAGGGGGTGGGAGGGGCCAGCTCCACTGAGCCAGGGGCTGAGCCCCCACCGGTCACAACATCCAGGTCAGGCCTTAAGCCAGTGCAGTCTCTGTCGCAGACCTGAGAGGGGCCCAGGCTGGCCAAGCCCAACACTGTCCCCCAGTGGCAGGGTCACAGCACCCCCTCAGCCACCAGGGGTTCCACAAACAGTGGGCTGAGCTAGCAGGTCCAGCCTGACGACCACACGCTCCTGGCTGGAGCCAGCACTGTGGGGGTGGCCAGCAGCAAAAAGCAGGTGAAGCTTCCACCTGCCAGGCTCGGAGGGCATGTCGGGCCTCACTGCCCTGCCAGGGCAGACACGGGGGGCAGAGGCAGCTCCAGGGCGGGTGGCTCGGCCTCAGGTGCTGGGCTGGACTTTCGGGGGTCACGCTGCTCCAGCTTCTGGCCCAGTTGCAGGTACAGCTCCTTCACAGCCTCCCCGCTCTGTGGGCCACACAGGTCAGTGGGGCTCGTGTCCCCCACCCACAGGCCTCAGAGGTTACACACCATCCTGCCACGGGCCCCTGGGCACCCACCTGGCCTGTGGGCTCCAGGGCCCGCTGCAGAGCCTCGAGGCGGGCAGGGGCCACACGGTGGTGCAGGTGCAGCAGCAGCCGCAGCACATGCCGGTGCACGTTCTCCTTCCTGGGGAAGGGGTGCGTGCTGATGGGGTGCAGCCCCTTGCCCCAGTGTCCCTCACCCTAGGGCCCCCGCTCCCTCCTGACACCAGTGGGCAGTGTCGGCGGGCACCTTGGAGAGGCCGTGAGGAGGAAGCCATCAAACAGGCTGGTGCAGAAATCCTCCAACGAGAACTCGTCTGCCAACAGGGCCAGGCTCCCGACCAGCAGGTGCAGGAAAATGTCGCCGAACGCCAGGTCCCCGAAGGTCTCCGCTGTGGGCACAGGCTGGTCAGCCCCTGCCCGCACACCATGCAATTGGCCCTCACTCAGGGGCTCCAGGTGCCCAGGGTCGCAGCTTGGGGGGGTGGGGGGTGGGAGGAGGAGGCACTAGGTGGGGATCTGGACAAGGGGTAGCTGCCCAACTGCCCCTAAACTGACCCCACGGGGAGCAAAACAGCAGGGAGCAGCAAGCAGACGCAGGCAAACCCTGAGCAGCCTAGCGGGGAGTCCAACCCGAGGCTCTAGGGCGTGAGCTGCCTGCTGCCCAGTCAGGATGGAGGAGCGTGGAGGGGCTGCCACTCTTCCCCTCAACGGTGGCACACTGTGCCCAGCAGTCCACACGCTCACCGCACGAGGACACTGTGGCCAACCCTGGCCAGGACAGGAGCCCCAGATCATCCGAGGCTTGAGAGGTCAGGAGGGCTGGGACTCTCGAGCGGAGACCCACAAGACCCCAGCAGTCCCAGGGAAATGGTGGTTGGTGTGTGGGGGGGGGAGGGGGGCAGGAGCCCAGCTCAGCGCTCTAAGGAGAAAGCTTCACAGGAGCCACCTAACTGGGAGGCAGGGTGCCACCAAGTACAGGACCTCTGTCCAGTAGCCCGTCTGCCCACCAGGGACAAGTCTGACACTGTCACTGTTCCAGATGAGACAGGGTGGTGCAGTGATGAGCAGGCCACCACCTGGGCTCCTGGAGCACAGTGGAGGCCCGCACCAGTGTGAGCGGGAAGCAAGGAGAGTGCCGGACTTCAGAGGGGCAGATGTCTTCACAGGGACCTCAGAGGGGAGGCAAAGGAGGGGGCTGAGCAGATGGGTGAGGCTCCCTGCAGTCCCTGGTGTAGGTCCCACACCTGAGCCAAGCCGGGGGCAGCCGTCAGCGACTACACTCAAGCACTGACTACCTTACAGCAAGACCCAGAAGCTAACAGCCCCCTGTCCAGCGCCCGTGAGCCCATGGAGACCTGCAGGATGGTGAGGTGCCCCGGAGGGGCAGGCAGTGCAGACTGGTGGGGGTGGGGGGAGATGGAAGGGGCGGGAAAAGTGCTGAGGGTGGGGCCAGGGCAGCAGGCACATGGTGGGGTGGGGGCTCACCGAGACCTGGCAGCAAACGCAGCAGGGCACTCTTGTTCCTCTGCTTGGCCGTGTGCAGCACATAGTAGAGCCCCACCTCGCAGGCCATGCGCTGCTCCTGCAGGAACCTGGGCACAGGGACCATCAGTCAGGACACTTGGGGACCCCCCACCCCAGGGCCCAGCGACACAGGAGGCACTGCAGGCCTGCTGACGTACTTGGTGAAGCTCTCGGGGAGCGAGCTGGGGTAGGCCGCCGGGGCCCTCTCCTCGGCCGGCAGCTTCTGGTCCACGTTGAAGGTGTGGTCGTCCACCACCAAGGACATGAGCGTCGGCAGGAATCTGGTGACCAGCTCTGCCTCCTGGGGGGGCCACCCACTGAGAGGACTGCCCTCCCCAGGAGGGCAGCTGCTCAGAGCCCACCTCCAGGGGCTGGGGGGTGGTCTTACATGTGGGGCTCTGGGACTGGGGACGGGAGACCACAAGGAAGCAGCCCTGTCCTGCCCAGGCAAGGTCTAGGGTCAGCCTCCTACAGGGGGGCACCTCATACCATCTTGGGCTCCTTGAAGACCTGGCTGTCGATCATGTCCCAGGCGCCCTGGCCCAGTGACAGCAGCCGGAGCAGCAGCAGCAAGTCGGGGCTGTCCTGTGTGGGAGGGGCCATGCTGGCAGTGGTTTGCCAGGTCCGCGCCCTCCTGGCCCACCCTCTTGACTCCAGCGGACCTGTGGGGTCCTGTGCAAAAGGCTAGTGCCATGTCCCCGGTGGTGGTTGGGCTCACCCTAGGCAGCGTCTCCTGGCCAACCAGCTCCTGTAGATGTCTGATGACACTCAGGGAGAGCGTGTTGATGGCAAAGGGGTCGCACAAGATCATGGACAGGTCCCTGGGGACAAACAAAGCCCTGGTGTGACCTCAGAGCCCAGTGGCCCCTCCATTCCGGACTCCCACAGAAAGGCAGGAGGCCACGCTCTGAATGCCTGCCTGGACCCTCTGACCCAGAACAAGCCCCCAACCCCTACCCTCCCCCCAACCACCTGATCCAGGAACAGAGACCAGGTGCCCCAACAGTAGACGAAGCCCCTCGAGAGAGAAGCAGTGCAGCCGCACTCAGGCCCCAGCCTCCCTGAGCAGCCGAGGGGCTGGGCCTCACCCCAGAACCTGCTCTTGCCCCTTCTTCACGCCATCCAGAAAGCCCTGCAGCTCCCTCGCTCGCTTGCTGTCCACGAACCGCTCTCGGATGCAGGCGTCCAGGCACCAGGTGAACTGAGGGGGAGCGGTCGGCAGTCAGCACCTTGTGGCTGGGCAGCACTTGTGGCTGGGCAGCGAGGCGGGAGGGGTTACCTTGTGGCAGGGGTCCACGGTGCAGATGTCGCTGACGTCGAGGTCGTGCAGGGACATGAGCAGCTCGGCCCGCAGCGTGCAGTAGTGCACGTTGCGTGTGCGCAGGAACAGCGTGCGCAGAAACTGGAGCACCATGTCGTACAACTTCACGTTCTTGCCCACCATCTGCGTCAGCTTCTGCACCACCTGCAGCACAGGCGGCCATGCGAGGGGCATCAGGCACTGGCTGGGGCTGACAGGACCAGAGAGAAGCCACAAGGGCCAGCGTCCCGCCCCTCCCCCAGCGTGCATGTCCAGCAGGCCGGCCACCACCTGCACCTGGGGCATTTGCTCCAAGAGAGAAGCCACCACCCTCACAGGCTTCGTTCGGAGGTGGTGTGTCTTCCGTGGTGGAAGCTGTGATGGGTGGAGTGGGTTCCCCATCAGGCGGGGGCTGCTTGCCACAAGTCAGCAGTGTGAGCCCACCAGGCGCGCTCTCCACAGACTAGCGACAAGACTCTGACGTACACAGTTACAGCCTCAGAGAAGCACGGGGGCCGTTCTTCTCGAGGTTGGAATCAACTCGATAGCAAACAGCCAACTCACTGCCACTGAGCGCGTGGCAGCCCTACAGGACAGGGAAACTTCCCCTGTGGGTTTCTGTTCACGGTAGGTCTCCTTTCTCTGGAGGAGTGCCTGCTGGTCTTGAACTGCTGGCCTCGTGTTAGCAGCCCGGCCCACGAATTGGCAGTGGGAGGTTTAATTCACGTGAAACTGTCTCTTTCTTGGGACAGAGCGGCCAGGAGTCAGCTAACCCCTGAACCCAGAACAGCTCTCTGTGATCTCAGAGTCCCGCCCACCCGCTGACCAACTGGGGCTCTTGTTCAGGACGTGGCACGGACACGCCACACACAGATGTGAAGTGCAGAAGAAGACATGGCCCCTGAGATGCCCACCCACTCACCTACGATGCAAACGGCCCAAGCAGGGCACCAGAGAGCAGCAGGCCTGCCCCAGGACGCAGGGGCACGAAGCCGGGGGGCCCTGTCTCGCCTCACCTCGCCCTGGCGCCGGGTCTTGGGGGAGGGGCTGAAGAAGTTGTGCAGCACGGAGAGCTCGCTGCTGAAGAGCGCTGCCTCCTTCTCCAGGGTGTACTGTCGCAGCAGCGGGGACACCTCGTCCCCAAACAGCGCCTGGTTGTCCTGCCAGATCTGCCGCTTCACCTCCACAGCGCAGGCGCGGTAGAGCTCCTTGTCGGCCATCACCAGCTTCAACTTTTTCTCAGGGACCTGCAGAGGGAAGGGCCTCGTTGGCCTCGCCAGACCAGAACCCATGAGGGAGGTGACACCTGTGCTGGCGTGGAAGCAGGTGCCAGAGCAAACCCGCCTGAGGCCACTCAGCATGTCCTGACTCAGTGGACCCCCAAAACACTGCTATCCAGTTGATGCCAAGTCACAGTGACCTTAAAGGACAGGGTGGAGATGCCCCCATGAGTTTCCAAGACCGGAACTCTCTACAAAGCCCTGTCCTTCCCCACTAGAGACCCAACCAAGCCGAAACGCAAGGGCTCCACAGTGTCCTTGTCCTAGTCTTTAGGGAGCAGCGCTGGTGGTGTAGTAGTTATGAATTGGGCTGTTAGCCACACGGTCAATACTCTGAAACCACCAGGTGCTCCCTGGGAGAAGGTTAAGGCTTTCTACTTCTGTAAGGAGTTACAGACTTCAAAGCTCACAGAAGCTGTCCTACCATACCCTATGGGGTTGGTATCAGTATGAATGGGCTCTGAGACAGTGGGTCTGGCTTGAGCTTTCGGTTGACTCTCCAGGGGGTGGCCAAAACTTTCTTCTGCAGTGCCACCGGACAACTTTCAATTAGGTGCTAAGCGGAGAGCTTGTGCACCCTAGACTCCTGGGGCCGGTCTAGCCATGTTGGCTATGAAGGGCCCAGACCTCACCTCAAAAGCCAGATGGCACCTCAGTGGGCCTCTCCAATGGGCAATGAGCTGGACAGGCTGGGCAGCATATCGAACCTGCCGGGAGCTCAGCTGATGCCAGGGCGTGCAGGGCTCACCTTGGGCAGGTGTTTCATGACGCACATGACCACGGGCTGCAGCGACGGCATCTTCACCAGAGAAAAGCTCTTCTCCAGCAGCTCCTCCAGTTTCTTGTACCTGGAAGGAGGCCGCTCACGGTTGTACCTGGCCAGCCGGGTCCCTGGCGGCTGCCCAGTACTCCCCAAGGCCGAGAAGCCACCGGGGTTACCTGCTACATCTCCGCAGTGGAGACTCACCTTTCCTCCGCCTTCCCCTCCAGGGCGATGGCGGACACCCTCTCCAGCAGCTTGTCCCGCAGCTCGTCGAACACCGACTGGTGGAACTCCAGCCGTGGCGTCCCGTGGAGGTCCAGGAAGGGCAGGGCAGACTGCAGGGAGGGCAGGAGCACGCCGTTCTCCGTCTGAGGGGCCGAGGGGCTCTATTTCAGCCGCACGTTCTCGGGAGCGGACAGCACCCACTAACAGGGCACGGGACGTCTCCCTGTTGGCCCCCCACCCCGCACCACCCACCTGGAACTGCTCAATGGCCTTCAGGGGCTCCGTGCAATTGGTCAGCGTCTCCTTCAGGTCCTCGCCGTTGGCCACGCCCAGGTCTTGCAGCCCCGCGAACAGGGCCGAGGGCCCGGTCCCCG